TTTCATCCCTCCATACGGTGGCCTCCCCTTCTGGGACGCCGCTCCCCCTCCAACTTCATACAGTCTTGCTGCGGCCGCCAATCACTATACCCATCCCCACCTGCGCTGCAGAGGGAGGCACACGCCCGAGTCCTTCTCTAAGCCTGTCCCTTGTCTGGAGGGGCAGGTGCGGTGGGTTGTGTGCCACAGAGACCAGGACGATGGTGGCACACTCTCTTCTCTCTGTTCAGGAGAAACAAGGATGGGAGACCAGGGCTGCGGGTGGCCCTGCCTTCCACCTGGTGGAGATGTCTGAGAAAATAAAGCTGACACATGGACAGAAGCGCAAGCAGGACGTGGACAGAGACTGGGGACAATGACGAGCTTTGGGGATCTGGTCCCAATTCTAATGGACCTGGTTCCCACATTTCCTCTGATTCTGTAAATGACACCAGGATCTGGAAACAAACAAACAAAATCTCTCTTTCTGCTTAAGCTGGTCTGAGCTGTGTGTTAGCGCCCAGTCGCCAAGAATCCTAACAAAAACAAACACCCGTCAGGGTACGGCTGTCTCTTGAGTATTGCTTAATGCATGGCTGAAAAATATCCCCCCTATTAACTATTAAACGTCACGGTTTTTTTTCTCCTTTCCTTTTTAATTTTCAAGAGCTTTTTAAAAATATCCCACGTGGGGACATGTGCTGGATTACTAGAAAGTTCTTCAGCACACCCATGGGCAATGCCGGGGTGCAGCTTCTGGCTGGGCTTTAACTCTCGCAGGGCTGTTTCCCTGGCAGAGTAGCCTAACTGTTGTATAACCGTTCCACGAGAAAGGAGAAACTTAATCACCACTTGGTTTCTTTGTTGGAACTGCCAAAATGGCACCAGTTCAATGTTGCTGCCTATTAACGTTCTGTTCGGTGGCGTCCACATTTTTAAATAAAGTCAATACAGAAGACAGTCACCAAAAATCTGTCTGGATTTACGTAACACGCTTGTTCATTTCTATTTTTGTTGTCAGATGAAGTTTACATAAAAAGATGTTCTTAGCTTGCATGTTACCCAAGCTGTCTACGAAAATAAAGTTAGAAAAATCTTAAAGCCCCTTAATAGTTCATATTCTTATCAAAAACTAACAACAATAACAACAAGTCTGCCCTACAATACAGTGTGGGAAGTCCTTTTTGCATCTTGAAATCAGGACAGTTCTTTCCACGATGGGCCGGACCGCTGGGTTAAAGGTTTCTATGAGCCACCTTCCTATGAGATCAAGTGCAGAGCACGCTCTTGTGCTATAAGATGATTCACTACCGTCAAGGGGCACGAAGTGGAAACTGACAGCAAGATTACAAAATCCCGAAGTCTGTCCCCTCCGTGGCAGCACATTCGACTTGCTGGCCAAATTGTTACAGCTCATTTATGTGGAAGACAATGAATTGCTGGTCTAGTGTCTTATGTGGAAGACACTGTGCCAGCTGCCTCCTTTGCCAGTCCCGTTCACGTCGTGGTCTCTCGTTCATCATCCAGGTCAAACACCCCCATGCTCGGTGTATCGTGCCCACGTTCTCATCCGCGATTTCTCTACGGCCCAGACTATGCGCAGCACACCCCGAAACAATTCTATGCCTTCCTTTTTTTAGCTCTAAGGTTCCTACTCCTTTCTCTCACCATAATGTGATTTAATCCTTCCACTGTTCCACAAGTAACGTGTGCCAATTTACCCTAAACAAAAAACATAAAAAGCAGCACCTGGATTTATATGCCAGGGCCACCTGAGGCCTCTCAATTCCCCATGAGTTAACTCTTCTTGGATATGAGAGCTTTCTGCAGAAGAGAATCGAGAAAAAGTCCTAGTAGCTATAACTTGCAAATCCATAAAACGAAACAAAACAAAAAACAAAAACTTCCTGAGTATGAAAAAGCATCATTTCCAGCTGTCCTTCTAATAAATATCCTAAGTATTTAACATTGAGTGAGAAGCTGAGGGGACAGTAAACAACCCCAAAATTCAGAAGAACAGGACACTGCCACCTCCACCACCTCCAGGTGGGAGGCACAAGGAGGAGGCAGAGTTAACAGGGCTCGAAGGCTGAGACCAGTTGCAGAAGCTGAAACAGGCAGGTCTGCCCGGTTGCAATTAGATTAATGAAGGAGACACTAACCAGGCCAGAGAAAAATTGCTGGCTTCTCCTTTCCTCCTGCTCTCCAATTTTGCCAGAATTTCTTATTGTTCAGAACCAGCCAGAGGCCAGCCGACACCAGAGTTTGGGAACTGTGGCCTGTAGGGGGTCCACCTTTCTGCCATTCAAAGCAAAGGACAGGACAGATCTGACAGCAAACTGGCCAAGGACCAGCACAGGAACACTAGTAGGTCTGCAAAACCTACTGGGATTTGGGATATCAAAGGGCCAGCTACCGAGGAGAGGCAAACACAGGGATCAGAGCCCTGGCAAGTCAGACCAGACCTGGCTGGGAGGTGAGGCCCGGGAGCCAGAGCTGGGCCAGCCTCTGGTGTGGTCACAGTCACGTGACTCACCATGCCGGGGCCTCCTGCCGGCCTCCGGGCAGAGCCACGGGCATCTCATAGTTGTCAGGCAGAAATGAATGGCAAGCAGACGAAGAGAAGGGATACAGGAGAAGGCACAGTGACATATGACAATGTACAGATGAGGACACACACTGGAAAATACCAGAGATTACTGCCCAGAAGGGCCTGGTGGGAGAGGGGGTGGTCCAGGGGACTGCGGCCTTATCTACCTTATATTTCCTTTTTTTTTAAAGGGGGAATGTGAAATTTGATGTGCAATTTTAAAATACTTTTCTTTAGGGGGAAAAAAAAGAGCCGGCATAGGTACAGTTCCTCCTCCCACACAGGAAGCAGGAGCATTGGAGTTAAGAAGGCTTTGGAGGCAGAAGAGAAAGAAGCCAGGGCAGCCGGCCGCCCGGTGGAGAGAGCAGCGGCGTAATCGTTACTCTGAATGAGCCGACCGATTTCCCAGGAATGATCAGCTTTCTCTCTCTTCCATCCTCAAACGAAACTTTATATTTAAAACCAATTCAGCTTCTAATTGAGAGCAACCATGGTTACTGCCTCTCAAAAAATTGCTATTTTCAGAGAGTGTCACGGTTTCTCTGGAGTAGATTCAACAGTTTATTTCCAAGAAATGAGAAACAACATTTAATTGTGTTTGGCCAGTATAATAACCCACCATCGTTGCA